GGAGAACTTGCCTAACTTTATTGGTCACCATAAAAGGCTGTTGCAGACATTACCAAGAAGAACAAGGTGAAGAGAAAGTATCTAACGAGTGCCTGTTATGAGCTGTGATCCATGTATCACAGACACAGCTGCAAACTGAAATAAGAATGCCCCTTTCTCATTGAACTTCATGTTCTAGTGGAGGGAAAGGGAATTGGGGGATGGTAAGTGGCAACCAAAAGATTGCATGAGTGCACAAGCATGCCTTTGTGGTGAATTATGAAGGTACGAATCCTATAGGGCCTGGCTGTAGTCCATCTTCACTGGACTCTTGGCTCCTCTGCATTATATATGGTTATCCTAAGCAGATTACTGACTTCTGTGTCTGTTCCCCCCGGTGTGAAATGGGAGGAATTATTGTATCCACTGTACAGCGTGGTAGTGAGGGTGAGTGAATGCAGCAAGTGCTCAGAAGTGCTAGGGCAGCAGAGTACTCAGTAAATATTAGTTATCATTACCATCACGATCACAGCCATGTTGATGTCACTGTCCACTCACTGTAACCTGCTCAGGGAGGTGGGGGCCGACAGCCATTGTCTATGCTCCACATTAACACATTGCTACCCCTTTGCCATTTGTTTGCCCTTTCCCAGTTTCTGGTGCTTTGCTCCTGGTGATGAGCACCTGTAGCCCTCTTCAAGACAACTCTTAGACTGCTCTAACCACTGTGTCTGCATCACTAAGAGCTAGATATCCCTAAGAGTTACATACCTATGATGTAGCCCGAACTGCAGGAGTATGGGAACCCCATCCTGTCTCACAGGTCTAGGAGTCACTCCTTCCAGGAGTACTGATCCCAGGGTCAACCCCCACTCTAGGTTACCAAGGAAGACTTCCTCCAGGAAGCTGGAGCTAAGCTCTGCCTGGCACTTGAGAACAGAACTAGTAGAGAGAGAGAGAGAGAGAGAGAGAGAGAGAGAGAGAGAAAGCTGGCTGGCAGGAGGGAGGGCTGCAGCTGTGAGTAATCATGGGAACATGGCAGCATGGCAGTCGGGAAATAGACGAAACTGCAGAAGCCTGTGTGTGGCTCAAGTCCAGAGGCATTGGGGTTGGATGATGTGAGCAGATGCTCTGGGGTTGGTGGGACCACACCAGCTTACAGAGCTGGATCTTCATGTGAGAGCCACGGGAAGCCTCAAGACAGGGGTGAGTAGAGTTGGGTTTGGGTTTTGAAGAGACCAGTAAGGCAAATGTCAAAGGATGGGTGCTGTCAGGAGCTACTGAAGTGGTCCAGGCGAGAGATCTTAGTGCAACTGCCAGTGTGATGGAGGTAGTGCTGGAGGCAGAAGTGAATGGACTTGAAAAATATTTAAGCAGCAGAATTGGAATGTTATTTTGTGATTCAAAGAGCCATCTTTCAGTAAAACTGCTATCAAATTCCAGATTTTTGTAAGAGTAGATTTGTGATATCAGGCTTTAAGATGGCCGCATAAGAAAAATTTCTACTAGTCAGAAAAAGTTTGAATTTTTAAAATCTTGTCATACAAAATGCAATGAAAAGGAAACAACAAATATTTAAAAAAATTTATTCTTACTTTCAGAGAATTCAAAGATACACGGATGGAATCTGACAACACATGTGGACTTATAATTCTAAAAATAATTTTACAGCAGAGAAAAAGCATTTACCCACTTTAGCAATATGCACATATTTGTTTAAATACAAAGACATAAATGTATTCTTCAGAATTATTCTAAAAATATAACCAAAATTGAGAAATTTTTAAAATCAAATATATAGTAAGCTTTCAGGAAAAGAATAAGTACAAATATGTGTAAACCATATGTAAACAGTTTGTCAGTTTTGTACATATTGCATGCATCTCTGTGTATTTTGCATTTATAAGATCATGCTCTTCCAAGAGGTTCAAATAACAAGAAAATGTATATACACTTTAATGTCCCATTGAATAGATGAAAAAATTAAGATGTGAAAAGTCACTTTCTTAAAGTCATGATGGATGTTCTTAAGCTATGACTGGACTTCAGAACATTGTCCTGCACCCCAGATCTTAACTCAGTTCCATATACCTTTATAAAAACATGACAGAAGCAAATGGCCACTATAACACACACACACACACACACACACACACACACACACACACACGCCTACACAGGAACAATTTAGACATTGTTGATTCATCCACACTCCAATCCGTAAAGAAGAGATACTAATGAAATAAAAAATTTCAGGTTCCTTTGATGAAATGATGCCATAGTAAGTCATTAAAGTATTTTTAGATAAGAAATTTTGACTTTTTGAAGATTTGTCTAATTTCCCAATGTTTCCACTTTTATGCAGGAAGAAGCAGTTTTATGAGGGGTTGATTATTTTAATCAATATTTAGCTTTGCTTATATTATTAAGCAAGTATTTTCCCAACTACTACCTGAAGCAGATTTACATCAAGTGGATTGCCAGAGTTATCCCAAATCTCAGACAATCTAACTGTAGTAGGTCTTTCATTATGAAGTGTAAACTTACTTTGGAGAATTACAGACTCCACAGTGAACTTTTACCAGACTCACTGGCAAGTGCCCAGCCTCCCTTTCACCTCATGGAAGATGCTCAAGACAACAGGCTATGAGCAATTGCACAGAAGTGAGGCTGTTGCTGACACTGGGTCCGGGCAAACCAGCCTGGCATTCCAACACTTGTACCGCTTCCCTGAGTTGGATGTGGTCAGTAAACACTGTCATGTATTACTATAGCTTCTAAAGCAGCCATGTAGAAGAAAGCTTGCAAGCACCCGGGCCTGCGTGTCCTTTCTATGTTGTTGCATGTGCTGGGTTTTGAGGTTGCTCTTCTTTTATTCTTCTTCTTTTTTTTTTTTTTTGGTGGAATTGGGGCTTGAACTCAGGGCTCTGTGCTTGCAAAGCAGGTGTTCTACTGCTTGAGCCATACCTCCAGTCCAAGATTACTCTTCTTGATCTTACTGAAAAACATCTGGAAAACAAAGCACACTCCAGTGATGTGTCACAGAAGGACATTTAAATGAGAGAGATTATTAGCAAAACTAAATGCTAAAACCTAAATTATCATGGCTTCTGGCCAAAGGTGTGGCTAGCCACATGGAACATGCGTATAGTCTGGGGAAGACTGGGGGGGTCCCATGCTTAAGCTAGATTTCTTCAATTATTCTGCTTCATTCAACTCTGTTGGTCAGAAATTTGGCAAATTTCCTAGTGATGCCAGACACTTGGGGCAGAATAATGAAGTATTCATTTGGGCCTCATTCGGGAACTTCATCTGTGACTGCATGGTCCTGTGATAACCTGCCCACTGCAGGGGCTGCTTCCCTTGCAACTGGCAAAGAGCAACTAGCTCTGGGTGGATTCTAGGGACACAGCTGAAAAGGCAGAATGACGGAGGCTGTGTTTGGATCTGAGCACATAATTTCTACAAAGCTGCATGCTGGAAATGTCATCATCGCATGTAACATGATGTTAAGAGGTTTCTCAGCCTGACTTTGGGTCCCTTCAGTAGTTTTGAGAATATTTTGATGTGTATTTGGAGAAAATCACTAGACTTACAACTCATTTTGTTAAAGGAATGATTGCTTAGGTTAAGACTAAAATCCCATAGTAGGCCCAAGTTAACCGAAAGAAAACAACTCAATTAAATAAATAGTATTGGCATATGGATGTGACAGAAGTTGTGAAAGGGACATGAGAACTTGTCTGTGGTTAGAAAAGGTACTAAAAGGCACACTGCTGGTAAAAGCATTACCTTGCACATATGCAGGTTACAAATGTACACCTTTATATCATATGTCTTTAGCTGACATAAACCAAGACCCCGGGGCCAAATACAGCCCACTTTATTAAACAACAACAAGCATTCTATAATGTTTTATGGCCTTCCAAATGTCAATGCTTTAATACTCAGAACCTGTGGGATTTTTTTTTTTTTTTTTGTGGTACTGGGGTTTGAATTCAGGGCCTTCACCTTGAGCCACTCCACCAGCCCCTTTTTTTGTGAAGGGTTTTTCAAGATAGGGTCTTGGGAACTATTTGCCAGGGCTGGCTTCAAACCGTGACCTTCCCGATCTCTGCCGCCTGAGTAGCTAGGATTATAGACATGAGCCACCCGTGCCCAGCTAGAACCTGTGAGTTTTTTGGCTTACATGGCACAAGGGACTTTGCAGGTATGATTGAGGACTTTGACAGGGAGCTAGATGATCCTGGATAATAACTTGTCAGAGAGGTGGGACCCTAGAAGGAGAAGAGATCAGAAGCACAAGAGACTCAGGGGTTTGTTGCTGGCTTCATGATGGAGGAAGGAGCCACGGGCCAAGGATTGTGGCAGACCCTAGAAGCTGGGGAGGCTGTCAACTGATAGCAGCCATAAAATGGGGACTACAGCCCTATAACCATAATGATCCAAATTTTCAACAACTCAAATTAGCAAGGGAACACATTCTCCCCTAGAGCTTCCAGAAAGGAATGCAGCCTGGCCGACACTTTGATTTTAGTCCGGTTAAATAGTCACATCAGACATCCAACCTATAGGACTACAGGGTAATAAACTCGTGTTTAACCCAAATATTAGCAATTTGCTTTGTCAGCAATAAGGAAGCGAATACAAAAGCCTATCAATTGCAGTGATTGTCTGTGGCTGCTTCCAGTTCTCAGGGCACCCTGAAGTGGATATGATAGAGAGTTTATGGCCCACCTGGCCCTTCACAGAAAACCCTGTCACCCTGTGCTGTCCACACACGAAGTCGCAGCTAGAATTTCCTGTGTGCTTGTTTGATACCAGGCTCCAATAGTCATTTCAATTTGGTATTCATATCAACCTCCCGTGACAGAGACTGTTTCAGTCCCTATTTGAAACAAATGGAGGGAGAGAGGTTAAGTAACTTCTTGAGGTCACCAGAGTCAAGGGTGGGCAAGGATTCAAATCCACTGTCATTTGCAGCACCTTGCAGAGGATCCATGAACAATGCAGATACTGACCTGAGTATCCTACCGTGGGCAGAAAGCGATGGGGAGCTCCCTGCTGGGCACCAGGATGCCCAGGTGCAGCATCTCCACAGGGTCATTGTCTGTGGCCACAATGTCATATTTGCGGATGATCTGGAACACATATAATATGCAAAAGAGCAGAATTACCCCTCTTGCCCCTGCTGTGTGGAATAGCACAGAACATGACTGCAGAAATCCAATAAGGATTTTACCCAGCAAAGAGCCAAGTGCAGCTGGAGCTCAGCCAATCGGCGTCCAATGCACATTCTTTTTCCAATGCCGAATGGAAGATGGGCAAAGGGGTTGATCTTTTTATCTGTTTGAAGCCAACGTTCAGGTCTAAACTGATGTGGATCTTCAAAATTGTCTTCATTGGACCCCAAAACCTGGGTATTTAGCATCAACACTGTCTAAAAACACGTAGAAAATAAACAACATTAAAAATAAGCAGAAGAGAATATTTGAATGGAAAAATTTACAAAGGTGAAAAAAATAACCCACGAATATGTCATAATGATGTTTGACAACATGCATTGAGGCTGAAAATATGTCAGGTCAACCTTTAAATTTTGCTGCCCGTTTCCCCAACTACCTGCTGTAGAAGGGTCTGTTTTCCTGCCCATTTTAACAAATGAAGAAGTTGAAGTTCACACTCACTTTGTAATTCACTGAAGATCACAGAGATCAAGGTGGCACTGAATCCTGGTCTCCTCCATAGCCCTTTTTTTCTAACTCTGTACTGAGTGACATGTCAACTGTGCCCTGTCCTGCACAGATTTCCAGAACTAATGCTCTCCTGCTAAAATGTCTCAGGGAGAGCTGATGAATTGTTTGAAAAGTGTGAGGTACAGATGGAGAGGTTCTACTTACTCCTTTGGGTAAAGCATATTCACCCAGAACTGTGATCTTGTCAAGAGTCCTAGTTGTGAATGGTACACTAGGGGTAATCCTGAAAAAAAACAAAATTGTCATGGTGATGGCCATCGGTGACATTCTGTCTGAAGTGTTGACTGGTTGCAGATTGTGCTAACCAGCTAACCAAGTGCTGCACAGGTTCATACTTAAAAGGAAAACATAATCATGACTCTTCATAAAGGAGCCCTGTCTCCTTCTTCCCCATATTTATGTCTCTTGTTCCTTTTTCTTATGTTATTGCATTGTTAGGTTCCCAGGACATGGCTGGTGAGTAGTTGTGAGTGATGGTTTTCCTGTGTTTCATTCCAGACTTCAATGCATATGTTTTCATACTTCAGTCCCAAGCCTGATGCTGTTCCATGTTTTCTATCTCTCCTTCATGAAGTTAGAAGTGTTTCCTTCCAACCCAGAATGTGGTGAGTTTTGCTTTCCAGAAAGGGTATGTAAAGAATTTTCAAAGACTGTTTTATACCAGAGCTCAAAAACAAGACATCTCTGCCTTACTCTAGAACAATATGGTTCTCTTGCTCAGCTATCGACTCAAATCTTGCAATTGTTTCCTGCTTTTCATTAGTGCTGATAACATCCATTAGAGTGCTATTGTTATTGATTTAAAGGGGAGGACACTAACTGTCCAAGACTTAATAGAATTTTCCCAAATAGGAAATGAGTAATAGAAAAAGAAATATGTTCACAAGGCTCTCTCCTCCAGTTGGGTAAAAAGTTTGTAATCAATTAGAGGAGTTGTCTATGAGTGGGATGTCCTTGTTATGTATTGAAGAGAACAGTTTCCTAACATTTGCATTTGGGTTTAGACAAATGCACTCACCTCATCGATTCTTTCAGACACGCCTTTAAATAGGGCATTTTCCTCAAGTCTTCTGCACCAGGCATTCGATTCTCAGGCACTATGCTTTGAATTTCCTTAAGAAGCCTTTGTTGCACTTGGGGGTTGCGGGATAAATTGTAGAGAATCCACAGTAAGCTGTTTGCTGTCTGAAAGCCAATCAACACAGATGTGAGTTTGTGTAATGATCATCATCATCATCATTATTACTTAACTGAACTAAAGTTGATGCCTACACCTTGCTCTGCAGATAGAGTAATATTTTTATTTGCTGTGCCATATGCAAATCCCATATATGAAAAATCAGATTTATTTTGCAAAGTGTATCAACTCAGGATAGCTTATTTATAGGGGGAATCAAAATAAATCCTTTGAAATAATCAGTTGCATTGGGGTATTTGAAATATAGTTTGACCCAGTAACTGTTTGAACACAAATGAATGCATGTACAACTGATGAAATGAATAAGATTGGTGGATTGTGTCAGAGCCAATTTCAAGGTTTATAATGTCTTGCTGCTATGTGAGATGTTACAACTGGGGACAACAAGATGAAGGAGACGAAGAAGCCCTCTCTATTTTTCTTTAGGACTGTATGTCAATCTATGGTGATCTCAAATTGAAAAATTGGGTAATGTGAAAAAATTGATGTAAAAATTAAAGAGAGAGACAGCAATCCTTGGAGGGTTGCTAATAAGAGTCTTTAAAAAACATTTTGCAGTGCAAATGTGCTGCTTTTCTGGAATTTAAAAGCCCTTTTGGACACACCCTAAAGAGTTACCACAAAAATGGAGAGATATGATCGGGGTTTTTTAGCCACATGCGAAGAGTCCTTGTAGGAGGTTGCCAACATCGAAAGAAGAAATTTTAGAATCCAGTTAAGTACTTCGAGGCCCCAGCCACAGTTTCTGACAAAGGCCAATGGCCTTTCAAGAGGCCACCTTTGTTTGCTTTCCAAAGGCAATGGGAGGAAAAAGCTATTGGCGGAACCAGCCATTATATTGTTTAGTGACACAATATCCACCACCAGGAGTCATATGAACTAGTGTCATAGGCATTTCTTAGCTAAGTTAAGCCAAATATTCCCCTGAAAATGGTCACTGTGTCCTCCCTGGGCAGACACGAAGGCGCTGTTGCTAAGTGCCATGTGCCACTCACACAAGGGAGCAAAGTGCAAATGGGTCAGAACCAATGGTTATTTATTATTTTTGGAAGATGAGGCCACCAAAGCAGGCCTCTTCGTATGAAAGGACTGGGTCTGAGCTGCAAATAAACCAGGGATAGCGTTATTATTAGAGTCCCATTTGTAGGACAGGAAGAGGTGCAGCCACCAAATTAAAGGCAGTCAAATTCCTCTGATTCTCTAAATGTGACTTTCAGAATAACCGGGACTAAAACAGAAATGGATGAAGTGTACAAGCATATCAGTAAGTGCCTTACCACAAGTGCAAAATAGAGCTCCCCAAAGCCAGATTACTGTAGCTTTTTCCAAAGCCATGTTAGTCTAGGCCTGTTAGGAAAACTGCAGGCTTGAATCAAGGGGAAGTGGCTAGAAAACCTCAAGGGCACAGGCTATCCTGGCTTGACCTCCCAGAGAGGAGACCCATCTCCTTAGCTGACCTCCTGCTTCTACCTTCCTTCTGCTAAGTTCATTGTCCACCACTCCACTCTGGTTGCAGAGTCCACTTGTCAAATTGATCAGGTGGCTCCCTTGCTTCAATTGTTCCAAGAGCTCCCCATCACAGGTGTAATAAATCCCAAAATCCTTAACAAGGCTTACAAGACTTGGCTAACCCTGCCCATTGACTCTCCACTCTCAACTCTGATCCCATTCGCTGGTTCTCTAGCTCTCTCTCCCTCTTTCTGATCCTTGGCCTTTGTCCATGCTGGATCCCCTACTTGGGTGCTTTTCTACCACCAGGTTTCCCCATGGTTGGCTCCTTTCCCTCATTCCAGAATCAGCTCCAGTATTTCTTCCTCAGAGAGTGATCCCCCACCCACCCCACCTCCCCCACCTCTTCCATCTCCATTGCTCTCTGTCACACCCCGGGATGGTTTTGTCCATGACCCATGACCCATACCACTGTCTAACACAAATCATATCTATTTGTGTACATGTCTGTTGTTTGTCTTCCCCACCAGCACGAGTTCTGTAAGGAGGAGGACTTTGTCTCTGGTTTGTGGTGAACTATCAAAAACCTGCAACAGTCCCTGGCGTACACTAGATACTTTAAATTTCTCAACATCCTTCACTTATTCAGTAAGTGTTTATTGGCCATCTACTCTGCGCCAATTATTGTTCCATGTCCTGGGAGTACAGCACTGGACAAAACTAAGTCACTGCCCTCACAGAGCTCACACACCAGTTTAAAAAGAAGAAAGAAGGAAAGTGGATGAGCTGTACTTCTACCACTCTAAGGACAGGATTGCCACTCAATAGGACAGCGAGAGAGCCAGCATGAGTTCCTGCCTTTGCCAGCCTCCTGGAGCAAGAGAGAAAATGAGAAGGATGCTGTTTGCTGATGTAGGAAGCCCTACTTTTTTTTTTGGACCAGAAACACTAGGAAAAGAGGAAATGTGAAAAAAAATGCACTGGATTGCATTCTGTTCAGAGACTTTGAAGTGTATGTGATTTCGGACCTCCAAGGAATGTTAATGTGTGTCACTCCAACGATAGCTCAAGAAGTGAATCAAAGAAAATTAAAAACATCTGAAAGAATATGTTGGTTTTGTGTTTGGATCTTGGCTGCATGGACTATCTACTAAGAGTATCAACTGCACCAGAGACAGAATTTTATAGCTTAAAATCAACTGTTGCATTTCAGTTAAGATCAAGCTGTCCCAAACTCATTATGTATATAATTTTAAGCAGAAAAAAATATTATTGGTCTAAAAGATAGTATGTCAATATTTTTATAGTAAACATTACCAGGTAGGCACTTTGAGGAAAGATGTACAATGACCTAAAATACATCTAGTTTTTTAGAATCTATCTTGCAAGGGCATAAGCTTTGCTGCTTCCAAGTTCCCACAGGAGTTTTCATGTCTGCTATGACCCTGGTCAGATCCTCCTCTGGAATTTGGTCCCTGGAGCATGTGAAGTCTTCCTGCTATGTGTTTAAGTACAAGAAGCCAGGCCTTGCATCTCCCACTGAGTGCAGTAGAAGACCTTTTAGTTTTGTTAGGTTAATACTCAGCTAGTCATGGTGGAAAGAGTGAGTTGAATGACTACTTAAAATTCATTACGAAAAAAATTGCACAATTTATGTAGCAAACTTCACCCCAGCCCACACTTACTGTTTCTACCGCAGCCAGCTGGAGTTCTGTGACCGCAGCATACAATTCTTTCTTGGAAAGCTGATTGTGGTGATAAATGTCACATAGGAAATCTGCTCCAGGCTGCTGAGAATGTTTCTCTAACCGGGTGTTGACAGAAGATTTGACTAGTGAGAAGAAAAACAGAGAAGCCAGGTGAAAGTTAGGATGAGGAAAGGACTCATGGGAAGAAAAAACTCCTGGTCTCTCTCTTTTTTCCTGTGGTACTGGGATTTGAACTCAGGGCCTATACCTTGAGCACTCCACCAGCCCTCTTTTGTGAAGGCTTTTTTTGAGATAGGGTCTTCCAAACTATTTGCTTTGAACTGCGATCCTCCTGATCTCTGCCTCCTGAGGAGCTGGGATCACAGGTGTGAGCCACTGGCACCCAGCTCTCCTGGTCCTTCTTGCCATATCTAAAGAGGCTTCAGGGACACAGCCAGGTTGCTAAATCAGTAAGTGTTGTCTTCTTGTGAAGCCAGCAAGGATTTGTGAATGCCCACTCACACAAGGCTTCTCAGGTCCCATGGGCATTTTCTTAAAATGCAGGTACTAAGTTGGAGGCTGGGGAGGTCTGGAAGTTGGCATTTCTAACAAGCTATCAGGTGGCAGAGATGCAACTGGACTGCAGTCACATTTTGAGCTTAATTTATTTGGTGGTACTGGGGTCTGAACTCAGGGCTTTGCACTTGCTAAGCAGACATTCTACAGCTTAAGCCACATCTCCAGGTCTGCAGTCACATTTTGACCAGTAAGGACTCAGAGCTTGGGAGAGATCAGCATGAGAGAAAGTGAGAATGGGGTCAGAACTTGGACCCAGATATTGCTAAGCACACACACATGTACACTCACAGGTACACTGTGCATGCATTTGACAATAAAGGTAAAGACTTGTGGCATTTATAAAGTACCTTCTAAGAACATGTACCCTTCACTTTAATTCTTACTACTGGACTCAGAACAATGATGGTGGTGGTGATGATCACCTCACATGGAATAGCAGTTATCATTTGAGTCCTGCGTGGCTGCACACCTAGCATGTAGTCTTGGGGAAGTTATTCAAGTGCATCTCAGGTGTATCACTCAGGGCTGATAGAAGGACCTACCATACAGGTTTGTTGTAGGGTTTAAGTGGATATGTGTGAGCGATCTCTAGCAACAAATATTCCCTCAGCCATGCAGAAGTAGCTCTAAACACCTAGATATTGTGATATGCCTGCTGTTTACTGTTTCTAAGTCAGGTCCAGAAACAGTTACAGAGGTACATATTATAATTATTTATCTCTTTCAGAGACAGGGCAAAAGGATAAAATGGTGGTGCTTTTGGCCACTTGGCACACACGGGGAACTCTGGGCTCTGACTTCAAACTCTTGCTTTTAATCACTTTTACTTCCCAGAGAAGACTACATGGCTATTTCCTGCCTTTTCCTTAGAATTTGTCTACATTCCTGTGTGTGAATCAGGAGGGACAACTCCATGGGAGATCAAGGTGGTCAGACCAAGAAGATCACTACAGATCTTCCCCAGCTGCAGAGACAGGGTCTCTGGGGTTCTGGTGGTGGCATGTGTGCAGCAGCCCTCTTACCTGATTTAAAAATGGTGTCCCAGGCCAATGTGTGGTCCTGCCAGACCTTGGTGTTGAGGCTCTTGTGAAATTCAACTGGGGTGACCATCATCTTCCCAAACGTGCTCATCATCTGTGAGAAACACAGGCGCTTGTCATTGTTCATACTGAACAGAAGTGCCCTGGAAAGCTGGCATTCAAAGGACCCCCCAAGCCCTCCTACACCCCAGATCTAGTGCAATATCAGAAGTCATCTTGAGATGGGTTTACACTGTGCGTTTAATAAAAAGCGTTAGGTCTTATGGCCTGACTGTGAATTAAGTAAATAAACAGAGAGGAGGAGGAGGACAGTGAGGAGGAGAAGAAGAGGAACTGTAATATTCATATTCAGTTCAATTTTCTAATAATTTCCTCTTTCTTGATTCTGAAATCAATTTCATAGTGTTTACTATATCCATGCACCACCTAAGCCATTCAAAAATTTAAAAACTGAAAAATTTCAGGCACTTTAAAAATATTTATAATCGGGGGAGAAATGACCCAAACATTGTATGCACATATGAATAAAATTAAAACAAATTTATAATCAACTGACCATTAACTGGAATACTTAAAATAGATATAAAATAAAATTTCATTTGATTAAAAATAACCTCACCTAAATAAAGAAACGATGGATTTAACATGATTCTTTACGATATCTGTATCTACACTTGGACAAATATTAAAACATACACATGAAAGTGAAGAAATTAACTATTGAAACAAGGTTTCACTCCCTGGAGACAGAATGGCACCTACATGCTAAGTTCTATAAAAGGTCCGTCCTATGGGACTTGGCTGTCCTAAGGAGGACACTTACTGTTTTGATGGCCATGATGAAGTTCAAAGCCTCTTCCCCTGTGTGCTTCTGAAGTAGCCCAAATCTCTTCTCATATAACACGAGGCAGATGCCTGTTATTTAAGATAATGCTCACTGTTAAACACTTACAGTGACTCTAGGGTCTCTGATTAATTGGCTATCAAAGATGTAATTCTATGTCTCATAAGAGTGTGGACTTTCCTCAGAAGAAACAAAAGCTGAAGTCCAAGAACATCTAGGAAAGGCAAACATCCTAAGAACAAGATTATTTCCAGGTTCAATGCAATGACCCACCCTCCCTCAGGACCTCCTGGTCAGAGATATACTGTCCTTGGCTCTAACGGTCACACAAAGATCCAGGGCAAAGGTGGTGTAGGTCAGGACTCTGTCCTGCCTTTAACTCAGCAGTGCTGTGGGATTCTTTATTGGGTTCTGCTGCCAAACACTGCCAATGGACACCCTATTCAGAAGAAGGGCAGGGAGGGAGGGGTTACCACTGAGCAACCATGACCTGCCAGGTACAGGGTAGTGCCTGATAGATGCTTTTTACATTTAATCATTTTACTTAGGTGCAACTTTTTTAAAGATAAAATTCTCAACTGTGCAATAAATACCCAAGTGTTCTAAATTCAGATGCAGTAATCATTAGCATTTTGCTCCAATTTCTTTCTCTTTACCAGTATGGGTTTGTTTACATGTAACTCTGTATGTGCTTGTGTGTTGAACCATTTGAAAATAACTTTTAGCCCTCATGACATTTCACAAGTAAATACTATGTGGTAATCTCCGAAGACTAATGACATTCACAATGTCACTAACATCCCTGATAAAATACCTGTTCCATAATATGCCTACTATGTGCCCATTTAAACATGTCGTAAAAATGATCTCCCATAACTGTTTTCTTTTATGATTCAGGATCACAGGAAGCATGGTTTGATAGGTGGGTAATTCATTGTTGATTTACAAACCAGGAACCTGTCTTGAGAGAATGAACCATTGGTCTAAAGTTATGTAGCTCAGAAGAGAGGGGCACCTTGCCCAGTCAGTGCAGATCCAGGGCTTTTCCAACTGCATCCAGATTTTCCGAACTCACTCATCCTGATCAGCTTTTGAAGTTGACCTCATTTTTATTCCACAACTCATGGCATGGAGAGCACTGGCAGTATGTGCGATATTCCAGATGGTCCATGGGGTTTAAAAAATACCACTATTTCTTATTTTTGCAGTTTTCTAGTTGTGGTGCTGATCTGGCTGTGAATTTATGGAAGTGTCATAAGTTTTTCTCCAAGATAAACTTTGATCAGAGAGAAAGCGTTCCATAACTACGTGCTAGATATATAGGAAGCTTGCAGTTAGGTGTGATATGTGCATGGATGAAATTTGGGAAACACCTGTTCAGCACAATGTATACAGATTAAAATAATACTTTCTTGCTTACGAATATCTACATTTAGTAGCTAATAAAAGAGTTGTTTAAGAGCACTTAGCATAGCACTTATCCCTTGTTCTGGTATTTCAGAACCACTAAGTACAGGCAGACTCAGCCAGGCGCTGTTTTCCCATTGGCTGGGAGTTTTTGGGAGTGCACATTGCAAATTGAAGCCACAGAATTTAGCCAGTTCTTTATACATGGATGAATCTCCCCTGTAATGTCTTCTTTTGCCAAAGTTGATCACTGGTAAGGTGTGTGGCAGACATTGTTAATGGCCTACCCAATATTCATCACCCCCAACTTCTTCCCTAAGAGAATCCCAAAATTATTTAGGCTTAAGGACAACAGTCCTTAAGCAGAACAACAGAGTCCTGATTTAGGACTCTGAGGACAATCTTGTTCCCTGATGTCCCAGCTTTTCTTGTTTCAGCCATGGTAATCACATGAGCCAGTTTTGGCCAGAGACCGAGGGGGGAAATTGTCTCTCTGCTTTCCTCATGGCTAATGAGGTTGGGTGGTGGGGAGACTGTCAGTACAAATGCCTCTCCAAGCCCTGCCATCAGCAGCCCAAGTGACCTAGTGTGTTAGCATGCCATCTGCTAACACACTATTATAGCTCCCAACTACCTCAGACTAACATCCTAACTCCTGGTCCTAGATCAAAGACCTCCCTGGAGCTGGCTGCTGTCCTCTGCCATCCTCAGTCCCCCCACACTCCTCTTCTTGGGGAAGTGCTCCAGCTGCCCATGGCTTGTGTCTGTCCCTTCAGCATGATACTCTGTCTTCCTCCTGCCTGCTTGGATTATTCCCCTTTCCCTCGCTTTGCACTCGGTAAACTCTGGCTCATCTGTCAGGTCTCAGCTGACAAGACATCACCTCTGCAAAGTGTCACTTGATGGAGCCTAGCCTAGGGGGGACCTTGAGGACTGCCACACCCCCGAACTCCCTCAGTCAGGCACTAACCTACTGTGTTGCCATCGTTCCTCTCCTGCTGCATCCTCACCAGCAAAACGTCCAGAGAGAGGTCTGACTGGATGCCTCCCTAAGTGGGTACTCTCCATGGCTCCCTATCTGAATCAGAATAACAGTGCAAGTTCTTTCTGGGACCTGCTCGTTCTGCCAGACCTGGAGTCTGCCTTCTTTTTGACTTTGTCTTCTTCACAACCTCTGTTCTGTCCACCACAGTCTGCTCACACCAATATCCTTGAAGCTTCTCAAACACAGCGCTCATGGTTCTGCCTCAGAACACTTGCACTTCCTGACTTCCTTGTCTGGAACACTCAAAGACACTTCCCTTCCTTCAGATGGGCATGGCTCCTTACCACAGGACTTCTCTCACTTAAGCCCCTCTCTTCTGTTCTTTCTTCGCTCCCTTATTCTTTTCCTTTACTCTGTGGCAAAGTACTTACTGGAATGTGTTTTCTTGTTACTTGTCACTCTAGAATGAAAACCTCATGAACACAATGATGCTGCCTATTGTGTTCCTTGCTGTGTCCCTCGTATCAAACACAGTGCCCGGCACATAGCAGTTGTTTAACAAATGCTTGTTGAATGACTTCATAAATAACCCATAGTGAAAAGCACAACTTAAATGCCTAAAAGAAGCATTAAGGGGGCTTGGATGGCCTCTCCCTAATCGGAAGTAAGGTATCATTACAGAGGAGCTGTCAACAGAGAGCACTGTGTTCCCCAAACTGCTTACATAATGGAGTGGACAAGACTGTGGAGGTAACTTACTTTCAAATGACCACTTGTTCAGTTCGCTGTATAAATCTTTGATATGGCCTCTTTCATCACAGAGCTCATCTATTCTGCCCATGAAATCAGCCAAGACCTTAAAAGAAAGCAACCAGGAAAGGCACATTTTAACAGCAGGGAAGGAAAGCAAAAGTTTCAAGGTCAGTGAGTCACCTAAAGGGTTTGCTACATTGCATTCTTGCAGGGTTACTTCTTTACCCTTTCTTCTCAGGAGCCCAGCTCCTCCTCTCACAGTGCTGTCCTGGCTTATTACCTGCAGTGACCCTGAAGCTTATGTTTCAGTGTTTGATTTAGAAGTGATTCTGGCAATTTAAGAAAAGAAAATGCTCCTTTTAGCAGAATCAGCCAAATGGCCCTGTCGGGATGACAGCTTGAGGACGGGCAGGCTCCAGCCCCACTTCCATATGGGGCAAGAACACATCTCTTCATTGGTGGTTTGTGGTTAAGGAGATTGACTGTGGAGCCAGGAGATCTGAACATTTTGGATGCAGCTCCCTCATTAAATAGCTCTGTGACCTTGAGGCAGTCACATAAGGTCTCAAGATGCTAGTTTCAAAAGCCAAAGTTTTTAATGACTACTGCCCCACATCACATTTGATGAGCTTCAAACAGGACAAAGTACTGTACAAAGTGCATTATCTTAGCTGTTCTGCACAGCAATCCCTTATCACAGATGAGAAATCAGAGCCTGGGAGAGGCTAAGTCACTCGCCTAGGGACACATAGCTGATAACTTGCCATGCTGGGCCCTGAAACAAGGGATGTGTGACCATAAAGCCTACAAGTGTAACCAAGGGGCATGTCTAGTTTGCTCAGAGTGCATTAAAAAGTAGTTTTGAATTTGTTACCATTAAAATCATTAAAAAGTAGTTTTGAATTTGTTACCATTAAAAAATCAAGAGATTTCACATGAATTATCAAAATGGTAATAATGCCAACAGCAACAATACAGTTACTAGGTGACACTGGGTGTGCAGTCCCCCATGAAAGGAACTTGCTGAGGCAGCTGTCCCCTCCAGGAAGGCCATGCACTATGCTGTTTGCTAAACTCCTTGCTGAGCCTGCCTTACTATTTCATTAATGGCCTTTCTTCTGGAAGCTTCTAAGTCTGTAATCCCTCGCCTATACCATCCCATGTCACTCAAACCAGTTCACAATCTTCCAAAGTGAACAGGAGTAAAAGAGGTTCCCATAGGCTTAATGCCCCCATCTGGCCCCCTGCTGGCTAAAGGATATCCTTCAAACACTTAGCATGGTAGAAAACCATCGTCTCATTTCAGAGAAAGCCTCACTCCAGCTGCCCTGAATACTGATTCTCTGAACACATCATGTCATTTCATTCCTCTAAATTTTCAGCATACCAGTCTCTCTCTTCGGGAATGCTTTTCTTCTCCTTCTTTGCTGTGTAGATGCCTATTCAGACCACAAAACCCAGCTCCAAGTTCACAAGCATCGTCTCATTTAATCCTACAGCAAACTGTTGGGGGGGCTGTTACTCCCATTTTATAGATTGGGTAGCTGAGGTTTAAGAAAGTTAAGTGGCATATCCAGCTTCCATAGCTTGGGGTAAAAGGTAGGGGCTCTAACCCAAGACTGTGGAATATCAAAGTCTGTGTTCATAACTGTTCCCTAATTGCAATATGACTTTAAATGAGGTTGGAGGAGAGAGGAATAAGGGTTTGGGGGAAGAGGATGCAGCATGGAACGGAGAAAGAGCAGCCTTGAGTCATTCAAATTGCAGGCTTTGCTCTCTGCACTTTGTAGCTGTGACTTGAAGCTCCGTTAACCTCCCCCCTCATCCCCAAGAAGCCCAGGGAAGCTGGTTTCAGTCTGCAGACCTCATTGATTTTGTTGTCCAGCTTCATAACTTCCGTTGGCTTCATTAGCTTCTTTTGAAAAGCCCCGCGGACCCTCTGCCAGTCTTCTCCTTCCCTGCAGGAGAAGCGGGATTCTATTTAGAGCGAATGGAAAGCCGGGAGCTGCAGAGACTCCTCTAGTAGCCTTTCCATGAGTCGTACCAGCAAGTGAGCTTTAAGACCCACACCAGGAAACACGCAGGGAGCATGAGCATTGAATATTTGCAACTGTCTTGACGTTAGGGGAAAAGTGCCTTTCTTTCTTGTCCATGATTACACCTGAGAGGTGAAGCCTAGATAAACTGAGCTCAGGGCTTTCAATGTGGCCTTGTCGGGGGTAGGGCAGAGAGGCCAGGGACCTGAATTCCCAGCAAAAAGAGCAGGCATGTGAACTCATCCTCAACAACTGGAATTTGTTTGAGGAAATTCAACAAATTGGTTTGTGTGTCACATTCACAAAGCACTTGGAATGTGGAATTTTTCCATTATTCCCAAGTAATAAGGAACAGTCAGGGATTCATTGGAGTTGTCAAAAGCCTGGCGCCATCTTGCACCCTTAGGCACTTGCCCCATAGTGAGCTACACAGCTTCTGGTACTCCTTGTCTTAATAGTTTTAATGCCAGTAATTACCTCCTGAAAAATACACTTATTAAGTATTATTATAATTTTGGAGTTAAACAGTGCTACCTTCTACTTTGTTAAATACTAATGGTTAAAAAGCAGAGGAATCGTATCATATTGTAGCATTTAGTTATTTAAAATGTGACACTCTCCCTCACTCTCCTTATCCCGCTTGTACCTATAGATCTAGTTCATACCTCTAGTCCTCTCCAGCAAGATTGTCAGTCAAAAATCTCTCCTGCCCTCCCCTCCTCTCTTCTACACTCCCCTCGCCTCCCCTGTCCTCCTTTTCCCCCTTGCCCCTCCTCCCCTCCTTCCCCTTTCCCTCTTCCTTCTTTTCTTCTTCCTTCCTTCCTCTTTTTTTTTTTTTTGAGTTTACAAGGGATTTCAGGGAATTTTGTCTGAACCGAGCACCGGTGGCTCACGCCTGTAATCTTAGTTCCTAGTTACTCAGGAGGCAGAGATCAGGACGATCGCGGCTGGAAGCCAGCCCAGGTAAATAGTTTGCGAGACCCTATCTTGAAAATACCCAACACGAAAAGAAAAAAGGGCTGGTGTGGTGGCTCAAGTGATAGAGTGCCTGCCTAGCAAGCGTGAGGCCCTGAGTTCAAATTCCATTACAAAAAAGAGATTAAGAGTCTGAGCACCACAATTTGTACAACTCTAACTTGTCATTTCCACCAGAAAGCAAGCCCGCATCGGGTGTGCAGTACAGCCTTGCGGGGACCAACACTGATCTATACCAGAGCTCAAATTGCACCTGAGGCTTTGGTAACCTTTCACGAGAAATCTTCAACCCCAGGGAATTCTAACTCCTGCCCCCTCTTGATTTCCAGGCACCTCAGGCTGCGAACAGGACTCACAAGATCAGCAGCCCGTAGCTCTCCTTGCGATAGTCGCGATAGGCCTTCCACGGTTTGATCTCCAGCCGCTGAGGATACGCGCTCTCGGTGCGATACAGCGCTTCCAGCAGACGCGGCGAGCCCAGGTGCACCGAGTCGAAGGAGCCCAGCTTCATCCGGAAGATCTTGCCGTACTTCTTGTGGTACTCTGCCTGCAGCGCGCCGGGCACAGCGTGAAGTTAGAGCGCATCCTCGCAGCGCGGTGCCGGGCGCGCTCTGCCTCCTCTGTGGCTAACCCCGCAACCGGAGCGCACCGTGCGCCCGGAGCCGCGCGCCTCTGCAGGGTGTGAAGCGCTACAGGGAGCGCAGGGCTGGGAGTAAGAGGGAATTAGGACGTAACAAAGTATTTACCAGAGTGTCGTGCTGTTTCTTCAGGCCCCCTTTCCAAAGAATATCCGGCAGACTGCCCAGCAGTGGCCATTTAGTAGGGCCGGGCAGGGCTGCCAAGTTCTGCGTCTCACCATGTGCCATCAGCGGGCAGAGGGGTACCTCTCGCTGTGGAAGGGGCGTGGACGCACTGGATGTCACAGGTCTGGGGGGCTGCTCGAGGCCTCGCAGCCGTCCCAGGAAAGCGGCAAGGGAGCTCGGCTTGCGGATTGGAGAGCTCATGATGGCAGGAGAGACGCGAGGCGCGGGAAGGCTCAGGGACTGGAAAGGAGACAAGGTTGTTAGGAGGAGCTCCTGGGACTTGGGGGCTTGAAGATTCTGGGAAAGAGAGGCAAATGGGGCCAGTAGATGATGGAGCAGGCGAAAGAGGGCAGGGAGCAGAGGGAATTTGGCGAGGATGCTGGACGACGCTGCAGGCAAGGTGCGGCAGCCTTAGGGAGCCGGGTGCCTGACGGTCTTGCGCTGGCCGCAAGGTCTGGAGGCTCTGGGAATAGGATCGCGAAGTCTGTGGGTCCGTCTATTGGTCTGCAAGTCTGACTTTCAGAGCCTGGAGCGGCAGAGTGGTAGTGTCAAGGAGGGTAGAAGGGATGGCACTGGCTCCAACGTTTTCTGAGGTGCCTCTTCATTCTACCGTGCCCAGGGACCCTGTATTTATGGAGACAGGGCAGGGCCTGGGTGGCCAATGAGCACGCTGAGTAGGGCTGGCCAGGCCCCGAGGGATAGGGTCGCCGGGGTTGGGGATGGAAAGAGAATGGAGTCAGCGAGGTGAGTGAGGTCGTCTGGGCCTCGGGTGACCGATGCACTGCTTGCGGAGCGGGAACACCTCGGACTCCACCCCGGAGATACTCCGGAGAAGGAGCATCCAGCAGCGAGGTCACCGGGTGCGCGCGGAGCGCCTCCCCGCCCCTTCCCGGCGGCTGCAGCCGGTTGCGCTGCAGCCCGGCGCTTGCACAATCGCAATGCCGGGCGGGCGACTAAGCCTGTGAAGGATTTGAAACTTACTACAATGCATGAAAGAGGGAATTTTTAACCTTGGGGATCTTAATGTTGGGCCACGGAGGGCCAAGTGAGTTTGTAGAATTTCCTTCTGGCTGTTGTGGGCTGTGATGAGGAATAAATGAATTGATGCATGTGAAGTGCCTACGCTGATTCTTGCCAATAGTCATCAGTCAGTAAAGAGTAGTTGTGGCCTTCCTCACCTCTTTAGGTGGTTATGAAACGCCCTGGAGGGCAGGGCTGGCAATGGCTGCACTTGACCCCTCTGCCTCCTCTAACCCCTTTACCCTCTTTTACACCCCCCTCCCACCTGCACAAAAGAGTGGCAACTTCCCATCAGGACCCCCAGCCATCCCACCCCATCCTTGAGAAATCCATCCTTCGCAAGCATGTATGTGCTGACCCGATGTCTAGAGTCCTGGGCTGCCAAGAATAGAACTCACTTTCCTACCTGAGGAAGGGAATTGGAAATTCCTGTTCATTATTTAAAAGTAACTCATATTGTTTCCTGCTGACCCAAAGCTACTAGCAGCCAGGGAGGAGGAGGTGAGGGACCGGCCCTCCTCTTCCAGTCACTTGACTGGGTCATTGTTACTGTACTGTTGCAAATCATTCCTTGGTAAGTCTCCTGTAAACAGTTTGTTTCTTGAAAACCTTTTGCATTCGACTTGAGCTTGAACACTGTCATTTCAGGTTTGTCCTCAGAGGTTAATAAAAACAATAGTTATAATATACAATCTCTATATAATACATTACATCTATTAAATATACACTCATCATATAGTATATGATACGTAAATATGCTATAAATTTATGTAACCTATGCAACTTATGTTAAAAACTATGTGTAATATACAACAGAAAATGCAATTTACATATGCAGCACATGTTACATGGTGCACAATTGAGAACTTTTCTAGGGCTTATGATTAAATGAGGCACTGAGTTGGACGTTTTACATTAATTTTCCCATTTAGTTTTCACCTCAGCATAATGTCAAGAACAAAACTGTAATCCCATCTACTTGGGAGATGGAGATCAGGAGGACTGAGATTCCAGGCTAGCTCTGGCAAAAAGTTAGCAAAACCCCCCATCTCAACAAAAAAAGCTGGGCATGGTGGTGGTTGCCTGTCATCCCAGCTATGTGGGAGGTATAAGTAGAAAGAGCTAGGTATAGGCCTGCCTGGGCAAAAAAGGGAGACTGTACCTGAAAAATAACAAAAGCAAAAAGGGCCAGGGATGTGGTTGAAATGATAGAGTACTCACAAGTGTACCAGGCCCTGAGTTCAAACCCGAGTACTGCTCCCTCTCCCCAAAAAAAGCACATACAGAATCCTCTGGTGCTTAGAGAGCTTAATAATTTCACAGTGATGCAGGTCTGATTAGAGGCCCAGGTGGGGTTCATACCTTTAACATAAACACCCATATACATCACGTCATTTATATCACCTTTTTAAAAAACAGTATCTCAGGATGCTGGAAATATTCCTTAATCTGGAGGATATCTCCGAGGGGGAGAGTGGCTATTACAGCAGTGTATGGGAAGAAGGGCCAGTGAGATGGAGCTGATGGTGGTGACAAAGCTCCAAAGAGAAGATACATTTTGCTCACTGCTGGGTGCCTTTCTTGTGCCTGGCTGCAGTAAGTGCTCAGTGAATGATGGCTCACATTGTTATTTCAGCTAGTGAGTTATTTCTCTCCTTGTTCTCTTTTCTCTCTTTCTCTGTCTCTCAGGAGGTGTGCTTAAGAAGAAAAGGATGTATTTCAGAGCTTATGAGTTTAGTGCGACATGCTTTATATATTCATTTTTATTACTTAATTTATTTAATTTTGGTGTCAGGTGTGGAACTTGGGGCCTAGGGCATGCTAGTCAAGCACTCCACCACTGAGCTACCCGCAGCTCAGCTTTATATATTCTTAATAGACACTTAGAGGATACTCAGAAGTAAGGAGCAATCGTTAGTGACGTCACAGCCAATGGGGAAATTCCTATTTCAGAGAAGTGGTTTCTCCTGCTCAATGGAAATTGATTTTCATTACTGAGCTGCAAGGGACAGCTCATGGTTCTCTGAAAGTTCATTGACTATAACACTTGCCCTTCCTTGATGATGTCCAGTTACACTTGAAGTGACGATTTTGAGCACAGTCCCAGGAACTCTTCCTTCCTCCCTCCATCACTGTGTAGTTTCTGAGTCAGCTGGTCAGGGGGCCCGCCAGAAATTCCTAATGAGAGGTCTAGAAGTGCCTCCTAAAGGCCACCATCATTCCTGGGACAGACCCAGGCCCTCTGTCACATTCTGGAAAGTCCTACCAGGTCCTGGAGAGGATAGTTATACTCTAGCCCTCATACCCAGCAACCACAGACAATACTGTATGCTTGCACACACATACACACACAGATGCACATGCATTTGCAAGAAGGTGAGGGCAAATACTGGGTCTTTGTACTGGGAAATACAGAACTGTTTCAAGTATATGGAATGGAATATAGTGTGGTGCTTCAAACTTCAGCTACACTGGGGTGAGAGCTCAAAATCTGCCTTTTGAGCGTGGAAACTGGGAGGACCTACTTTCCACCTGTTGAATGACTGGTGTTGGAATCAACTGCATAGTAAAGCTTGAACATGATGGGAATAGAAACAGGGACAGTAGTAAGCTTTTGGGGCTGCTGTGAGAATAACACAGATAAATACTTAGCAGAGTAAAGTGCCTGGTAACTATCACTGTGTAGCAGTCTGGTGTTACATCCGTGGTGTTTTTGAAACTACATAGAAGGCAGGTGGCTTAGTTGTTTCAATTATTACTTGTGTTCAACTGAATAGCTGTGATTTTGATGCAGAAAACTGTGTAATTGAGTAATGCTAATGAAGACCAGCGAAGATTTGGTGAGTTCAAATCCCAAGGCACCCCACTTAGACTGGGTGTCTAAGTCTTGGTCACCTAGTTGGAAATAGTACCTCATTCCACAGGGCTGTTCTGAAGAGTCTTTGACATAACTCCCACTGTCAATGTTATAAGAACCACAGGGACTGGGCTCTATTTCCTTTTTTTCTGCAATTCTCTGTCCACTTAGATCAACCTTCAAATTGTAGACCTTGTCTCCTTGTTTTCCTCTCCTGGAACAATGACCCAGAGTGCTCATGTTGGCCAGCACCCAATAGGCAACTGACTATTTCCTCATTCTCAAGTTAAAAAGAGAAAGTTCCAACGCATTCTTTGTTTTCTGAGGAAGTTATTGGTAAATCCTGAGGGACCTCATTTGGGTGTCATATAGAAAGCAGTCCTATAGGACAAAAGTAGTAGTTTGGATCTCAGTGGGTTGAGTGGAAACCATGGCTCTACTATTCACTCGCTGTGTGCTTGGGCACATTATGTAACTTCTATGTGCCTAATTTCCTTATTGGCAGAATTGGAGGTTACTGTACCTCTGTCTCAGGAAGCTAAGATGAATATTTAAAACATCAAGTAAAAGACAGTCATTATCTTCACAAAAGCCCATTTGGTCTCTGTAATGGCCTGATGGTTTCTGAGCAGGATTCAGTCATGTTGGTAAACGAAGTTTTATTACAAGTATGGAAAAAGGCATCTTAAATCCTCCAAAATGCAATTATATGGGGAGAAATATTGAGCAGATCCATCATTAAAAGGGTCATCCTATTTTGAAGGAGAGGAGAAAATATAGCGTGTGTACCGAATTAACAAATCATTTCACTACCACTGCCGGTGATATTTTGTTTAGAAACTACTGTGCATGTGTCAGCCTCTTTGTAATCTCTACCCACACATCAAAACCAAAGGTATTACTGTTTTCCATTTTGCAATGATAAAACCTTGCTTTCTTACAAACTTTAAGACAGACCATTGTGACCACATTAGTTTACCTTATCCTCACCTATAAAATGGAAACAATAATAATAATAGTAGCTCTCCTATATCATTGTAATATTATAACTGTAATAATAGTACTTAGCTATAATAATGTAACTTAAATTCTAGCTGTCCTTAGGATGCCAGCTTCCTGGTACAGGTGGGCTGTTTCATCTTGTTCTCTGCTATGTTCCTAGTATCTATAGTAGGCCTGGATCAGCTTAGGGGCTCCAAGAATACTTGTCAAACGATATATTGCAAAAATAACAGAGTAGGTGCCCTGCTTGGTATAGCTGTATTTGCTCAATTGATTTGTTCTGGTAAAACACAACTCTTGGTAAAAGGGGTGTAGCTATAAA